ACTTGGCTTTGCTTCTTTGATCGAACTTGGCTTTGCTTCTTTGATCGAACTTGGCTTTGCTTCTTTGATCGAACTTGGCTTTGCTTCTTTGATCTAACTTGGCTTTGCTTCTTTGATCGAACTTGGCTTTGCTTCTTTGATCGAACTTGGCTTTGCTTCTTTGATCGAACTTGGCTTTGCTTCTTTGATCGAACTTGGCTTTGCTTCTTTGATCGAACTTGGCTTTGCTTCTTTGATCTAACTTGGCTTTGCTTCTTTGATCTAACTTGGCTTTGCTTCTTTGATCTAACTTGGCTTTGCTTCTTTGATCTAACTTGGCTTTGCTTCTTTGATCTAACTTGGCTTTGCTTCTTTGATCGAACTTGGCTTTGCTTCTTTGATCGAACTTGGCTTTGCTTCTTTGATCGAACTTGGCTTTGCTTCTTTGATCTAACTTGGCTTTGCTTCTTTGATCTAACTTGGCTTTGCTTCTTTGATCTAACTTGGCTTTGCTTCTTTGATCGAACTTGGCTTTGCTTCTTTGATCGAACTTGGCTTTGCTTCTTTGATCTAACTTGGCTTTGCTTCTTTGATCGAACTTGGCTTTGCTTCTTTGATCTAACTTGGCTTTGCTTCTTTGATCGAACTTGGCTTTGCTTCTTTGATCGAACTTGGCTTTGCTTCTTTGATCGAACTTGGCTTTGCTTCTTTGATCGAACTTGGCTTTGCTTCTTTGATCGAACTTGGCTTTGCTTCTTTGATCGAACTTGGCTTTGCTTCTTTGATCGAACTTGGCTTTGCTTCTTTGATCTAACTTGGCTTTGCTTCTTTGATCGAACTTGGCTTTGCTTCTTTGATCGAACTTGGCTTTGCTTCTTTGATCGAACTTGGCTTTGCTTCTTTGATCGAACTTGGCTTTGCTTCTTTGATCGAACTTGGCTTTGCTTCTTTGATCGAACTTGGCTTTGCTTCTTTGATCGAACTTGGCTTTGCTTCTTTGATCGAACTTGGCTTTGCTTCTTTGATCGAACTTGGCTTTGCTTCTTTGATCGAACTTGGCTTTGCTTCTTTGATCTAACTTGGCTTTGCTTCTTTGATCGAACTTGGCTTTGCTTCTTTGATCGAACTTGGCTTTGCTTCTTTGATCGAACTTGGCTTTGCTTCTTTGATCGAACTTGGCTTTGCTTCTTTGATCGAACTTGGCTTTGCTTCTTTGATCGAACTTGGCTTTGCTTCTTTGATCGAACTTGGCTTTGCTTCTTTGATCGAACTTGGCTTTGCTTCTTTGATCGAACTTGGCTTTGCTTCTTTGATCGAACTTGGCTTTGCTTCTTTGATCGAACTTGGCTTTGCTTCTTTGATCGAACTTGGCTTTGCTTCTTTGATCGAACTTGGCTTTGCTTCTTTGATCTAACTTGGCTTTGCTTCTTTGATCGAACTTGGCTTTGCTTCTTTGATCTAACTTGGCTTTGCTTCTTTGATCTAACTTGGCTTTGCTTCTTTGATCTAACTTGGCTTTGCTTCTTTGATCTAACTTGGCTTTGCTTCTTTGATCGAACTTGGCTTTGCTTCTTTGATCGAACTTGGCTTTGCTTCTTTGATCGAACTTGGCTTTGCTTCTTTGATCTAACTTGGCTTTGCTTCTTTGATCTAACTTGGCTTTGCTTCTTTGATCTAACTTGGCTTTGCTTCTTTGATCGAACTTGGCTTTGCTTCTTTGATCGAACTTGGCTTTGCTTCTTTGATCTAACTTGGCTTTGCTTCTTTGATCTAACTTGGCTTTGCTTCTTTGATCTAACTTGGCTTTGCTTCTTTGATCTAACTTGGCTTTGCTTCTTTGATCTAACTTGGCTTTGCTTCTTTGATCTAACTTGGCTTTGCTTCTTTGATCGAACTTGGCTTTGCTTCTTTGATCTAACTTGGCTTTGCTTCTTTGATCTAACTTGGCTTTGCTTCTTTGATCTAACTTGGCTTTGCTTCTTTGATCTAACTTGGCTTTGCTTCTTTGATCTAACTTGGCTTTGCTTCTTTGATCTAACTTGGCTTTGCTTCTTTGATCTAACTTGGCTTTGCTTCTTTGATCTAACTTGGCTTTGCTTCTTTGATCGAACTTGGCTTTGCTTCTTTGATCTAACTTGGCTTTGCTTCTTTGATCTAACTTGGCTTTGCTTCTTTGATCTAACTTGGCTTTGCTTCTTTGATCGAACTTGGCTTTGCTTCTTTGATCGAACTTGGCTTTGCTTCTTTGATCGAACTTGGCTTTGCTTCTTTGATCTAACTTGGCTTTGCTTCTTTGATCTAACTTGGCTTTGCTTCTTTGATCTAACTTGGCTTTGCTTCTTTGATCTAACTTGGCTTTGCTTCTTTGATCTAACTTGGCTTTGCTTCTTTGATCTAACTTGGCTTTGCTTCTTTGATCTAACTTGGCTTTGCTTCTTTGATCTAACTTGGCTTTGCTTCTTTGATCTAACTTGGCTTTGCTTCTTTGATCTAACTTGGCTTTGCTTCTTTGATCTAACTTGGCTTTGCTTCTTTGATCGAACTTGGCTTTGCTTCTTTGATCGAACTTGGCTTTGCTTCTTTGATCGAACTTGGCTTTGCTTCTTTGATCTAACTTGGCTTTGCTTCTTTGATCTAACTTGGCTTTGCTTCTTTGATCTAACTTGGCTTTGCTTCTTTGATCGAACTTGGCTTTGCTTCTTTGATCGAACTTGGCTTTGCTTCTTTGATCGAACTTGGCTTTGCTTCTTTGATCTAACTTGGCTTTGCTTCTTTGATCGAACTTGGCTTTGCTTCTTTGATCGAACTTGGCTTTGCTTCTTTGATCGAACTTGGCTTTGCTTCTTTGATCGAACTTGGCTTTGCTTCTTTGATCGAACTTGGCTTTGCTTCTTTGATCTAACTTGGCTTTGCTTCTTTGATCGAACTTGGCTTTGCTTCTTTGATCGAACTTGGCTTTGCTTCTTTGATCGAACTTGGCTTTGCTTCTTTGATCTAACTTGGCTTTGCTTCTTTGATCTAACTTGGCTTTGCTTCTTTGATCTAACTTGGCTTTGCTTCTTTGATCGAACTTGGCTTTGCTTCTTTGATCGAACTTGGCTTTGCTTCTTTGATCGAACTTGGCTTTGCTTCTTTGATCTAACTTGGCTTTGCTTCTTTGATCTAACTTGGCTTTGCTTCTTTGATCTAACTTGGCTTTGCTTCTTTGATCTAACTTGGCTTTGCTTCTTTGATCTAACTTGGCTTTGCTTCTTTGATCTAACTTGGCTTTGCTTCTTTGATCTAACTTGGCTTTGCTTCTTTGATCTAACTTGGCTTTGCTTCTTTGATCTAACTTGGCTTTGCTTCTTTGATCTAACTTGGCTTTGCTTCTTTGATCTAACTTGGCTTTGCTTCTTTGATCGAACTTGGCTTTGCTTCTTTGATCGAACTTGGCTTTGCTTCTTTGATCGAACTTGGCTTTGCTTCTTTGATCTAACTTGGCTTTGCTTCTTTGATCTAACTTGGCTTTGCTTCTTTGATCTAACTTGGCTTTGCTTCTTTGATCGAACTTGGCTTTGCTTCTTTGATCGAACTTGGCTTTGCTTCTTTGATCTAACTTGGCTTTGCTTCTTTGATCTAACTTGGCTTTGCTTCTTTGATCTAACTTGGCTTTGCTTCTTTGATCTAACTTGGCTTTGCTTCTTTGATCTAACTTGGCTTTGCTTCTTTGATCTAACTTGGCTTTGCTTCTTTGATCGAACTTGGCTTTGCTTCTTTGATCTAACTTGGCTTTGCTTCTTTGATCTAACTTGGCTTTGCTTCTTTGATCTAACTTGGCTTTGCTTCTTTGATCTAACTTGGCTTTGCTTCTTTGATCTAACTTGGCTTTGCTTCTTTGATCGAACTTGGCTTTGCTTCTTTGATCTAACTTGGCTTTGCTTCTTTGATCTAACTTGGCTTTGCTTCTTTGATCTAACTTGGCTTTGCTTCTTTGATCGAACTTGGCTTTGCTTCTTTGATCGAACTTGGCTTTGCTTCTTTGATCGAACTTGGCTTTGCTTCTTTGATCTAACTTGGCTTTGCTTCTTTGATCTAACTTGGCTTTGCTTCTTTGATCTAACTTGGCTTTGCTTCTTTGATCTAACTTGGCTTTGCTTCTTTGATCTAACTTGGCTTTGCTTCTTTGATCTAACTTGGCTTTGCTTCTTTGATCGAACTTGGCTTTGCTTCTTTGATCGAACTTGGCTTTGCTTCTTTGATCGAACTTGGCTTTGCTTCTTTGATCGAACTTGGCTTTGCTTCTTTGATCGAACTTGGCTTTGCTTCTTTGATCTAACTTGGCTTTGCTTCTTTGATCGAACTTGGCTTTGCTTCTTTGATCGAACTTGGCTTTGCTTCTTTGATCGAACTTGGCTTTGCTTCTTTGATCTAACTTGGCTTTGCTTCTTTGATCTAACTTGGCTTTGCTTCTTTGATCTAACTTGGCTTTGCTTCTTTGATCGAACTTGGCTTTGCTTCTTTGATCGAACTTGGCTTTGCTTCTTTGATCGAACTTGGCTTTGCTTCTTTGATCTAACTTGGCTTTGCTTCTTTGATCTAACTTGGCTTTGCTTCTTTGATCTAACTTGGCTTTGCTTCTTTGATCTAACTTGGCTTTGCTTCTTTGATCGAACTTGGCTTTGCTTCTTTGATCTAACTTGGCTTTGCTTCTTTGATCTAACTTGGCTTTGCTTCTTTGATCTAACTTGGCTTTGCTTCTTTGATCTAACTTGGCTTTGCTTCTTTGATCTAACTTGGCTTTGCTTCTTTGATCGAACTTGGCTTTGCTTCTTTGATCTAACTTGGCTTTGCTTCTTTGATCTAACTTGGCTTTGCTTCTCGTTCTTTGCTTGCATGAAATGGCCAGATGTCCAGCGAAGTATTTCTGATTCTTCAGTTCCATCCCCTTCCCCATCTCCCCTTCTTTCCCTCCCTTTTCATCATCTTGCTGCTCCTCACCTTCCCCACCACGCTGTACCACTGTCCCGCATCGCCATCCCATGCTGCCATCGCGTATCAACAACCCGGTTGCCATCCCATGCTGCCATCCCACGCATCACAGCACGATTTCAGGGGGCGGGGGGTTGTCAGGGGCAGCATCGACTCGGCACACCAGCTCAGCGTTGACAGCTGCTGCCAGCAATGCCAGGTGGGGGTGCCGCCCTTTGCTCCTGCTTTGGAACACACATGCACGCACAAACTCACGCACGCATGCGCGTGCGCACATACTCATCCTCGCCTTGGGTGCACTCACTTCCCCACCCACCATTGCGTCATGCCATCCCACCGTCTGTTCGTCTGTCTGTCCGCTCAACCCACCCATGCCAGTGCCCTCAACGCCACAGAACCATCTTCATCGCCAGCACAGCCAGCTGCCACAGTGGCGGCCTTCTCCTCGTCGGGCCCGCTGGTGTGGCCGTGGTACCGGGTGCGCCCGCCCTTCCCCACCAACTCGCTGCTCAAGCCCGACCTCCTCGCCCCGGCCGTCAACCTCTGGTCTGCCGCCCCCGCCACCACCATTGGCGCCCCAGGAGACCGCATCAACCGCACCGGCACGTACCTGGCGGCGCCACTCGTAACGGGCATTGCGGCCGTGCTGGTGCAGCTGCGCCCCTCATGGTCGCCCGCACAGGTGATGTCGGCGCTCATGACCTCCGCACGCACCACCACGGCGGGCGGTGCGCCCATGCGCACGGCGGCGGGCAGGAAGGCGACGCCGTGGCAGATGGGGTGCGGGGTGGTGCAGGCGGCGGGCGTGGCGGACCCCGGGCTCACCTTCGACGCCAGCGAGCGCCATTTCCGCAACTTCCTGGCGGGGCAGAGCTGGTTCCGCGCGCACAGGCTGTTCCCTGCCGCCTCTCTCGCCCGCCTGCCCCCGCGCAACCTGAACCGGCCGTCCATCGCACTGGGGCGCGCCAAGGGCGTCACCATCATCCTGCGCACCGTCACCAGCGTGGCGACCGTGCCGTCCACTTACACCGCCACCGTGGTCAACCCCTGGGGCGTGCTGCTCACGGTGACGCCCCGACGGTTTACAATCGCGCCGGGCGAGAGTGTGACGTACAAGGTGGTGGTGCGTGTGGTGAGCAAGTCGTTGAGGTTCTTCTATGGCAGCATCACGTGGCGAGACGAGGTGGGCCATGTGGTGCGCTCGCCCGTGGTGGTGCAGCCGCAGCGCCTGCTCAAGTGGTGCATCGGGTGCACCAAAGGTGGCGTCATCAACTGGCCTCGTGGCCCGCCCTAGCACCCCTTGCAGCCCTAGAACTTATAAACGCATGCAATACCCAGGGATGAGAGGAAAGCTTGGGCTTTATAGATACGCCCAGACATCTAACCCTATGACCTCTTAGGAGTAAGTCCCCTTTATATTGTAGGGTTTGAATTGGTGTGCTCTTGTGGTCTCCCATTGTTCTATCCCTGCGGCATTGCTCAATTATCATGTTTGTGCGTCAGCAGGGGGGCAGTACTGAAAGCGAGTAATTAAGGGTTCTTGAATCAAACTTCTAGTTTTGCGCCTGTATACAAGTGGCAATACACAACACATCCAGCCACCCCACCTGAGCGTGCCTTTGGAAACTCCTCAACGGCATATGGCCTCGGTCGGCGCGCTACGCCTTCCACGCGTCCTTGGCACTTTGAGCCTTGCCAAGCGCGGACGCGAGCAGACACTTGTCGGCACCGTCGGCAGGGAGCATGACGGACACGTCGTTGATGGTGGCAATCGAGTTGTCGATCTGCCCCGCCAACAACACGTGCTGCCCCGTTTGAATCAGAATCTCTGTGTTGCTCAGCGCCGCTGCCATGTCCGTGAGGCTCTTGCCGTACATCTTGACGGAGAGCTTCGCCTTGGCAATGTCCACGTCCTCCGCCGTCTTCTTCGGGAGGAGGCGGAGGATGAGGAGGATTCTTCGAGGCTTGGCTTCTTCTTCTTCGGAGGAGGAGAAGATGAAGAAAGACTTCTAAGCCTCCTCTATAATCCTCCTCCTCCTCTCCTCCTTCTCCTCTTCTTCTTCTTCTTCTTCTTTCTTCTTCTTCTTCTTCTTCTTCTTCTTCTTCTTCTTCTTCTTCTTCTTCTTCTTTCTTTTCTTCTTCTTCTTCTTCTTCTTCTTCTTCTTCTTCTTCTTCTTCTTCTTCTTCTTCTTCTTCTTCTTCTTCTTCTTCTTTCTTCTTCTTCTTTTCTTCTTCTCCTCCTCCTCCTCCTCCTCCTCCTTCTTCTTGTCCTCGTCATCATCATCGTCGTCGTCATTGTCGTCCTCGAGAATCCTCTGCATCGCAACGTCGTCGCTAAGAGCATCGATGGCGTCGAGCTGAACCAGGTCGCCGGGCATGGCTGCGGCAAGTGCTGACGAGGCAGCCTCGGGGACGGCGAGCTCGGCGGAGGCATTGTGGCAGAGCGACGTCAGGACGAGCGCCACCAAGTGCAGCGCGCAGGCTAGCGCGAATATTCTCAAGCATGCCATGACGAGTCTTAGCGCTAACAGGATTGCGTGGAGAATGAATAGGGGCGTTTGAAGTGCTAGGTGTGTGAAGCTGAGTTGAGTGTGATGGTGAAAAGGAGCATGTGGGAGCAATTTATGGGAGTTACAAAAGAGTGATGATGAGAGTAGTTTTGACCGCGCACTGCTCCGCGATCGCGCCCGATTCCCACGGGCAGTTTGTTGGCCTTAACGCACACTGTAGGCTATTTTCCGGGGGAAAAAATATATGCCCTCGCAGGAAAGACATGTAGACATGGGCGTCATCAACCCCAAACACAATGTGGCAAGGTGTTTAGGGTTGATGCTTCCCCTGTGAGCATGCCTTTCCCTAGAGTTTTTGTTTGTTTGTTTGTTTGTTTGTTTTTTTTTGCCCCTGTAAAATTGTTTTGAGAAAAAAAACTGCCCGTAGGAACTGGGTGCAATCGCGGAGCAATGCGCGTTCAAAACCACTGCGCATTGGAATCGAAAACTAGAAAACATGGCAGTTCGTCATTGTCAAAAAGTATGGACAGCGGAATGATGTTTGACTTACAGAATGGGAGTACAAGTTGGAAACCCTAGAAAACTGTACCCCCCAAGGCTAGCCCTATTGTAGCCTAACAACATATAAACATACAGTTCTGACACAACTCCATAGGCGAAGTGGGGGATAGCAAGCACAACCAACGGTCAAAAGACCAGTCTAGGGACAAAGCAAAGCAAAGCTCAGGGTGGATCTCAAGATCACCACACAGTCCAAGCACAAGCAAGCGGCCACAAGGCCAGTTCACATGCAGAGTTATAAGAGCACATGTAGTACAGTGATCACAAACTAGCAAGGGTAAACATGCAGGAATATATATGGAAAAGTTCAACGCAAAGTCAAAAGACAAGCAAGTGAGGCAGAGTAGGCACAAGGCCTAGAGCAGTGCAAAAACGCTAATGATCACCAGGCCCTAGGGCCTTGGTGAAGACATAACCTATGTTGGCCTGTGAGGCCACGTAAGCAAGGTGAAGCTGACCACGCAGTTGTAACTCTCGTGCGGGAAAGTAACAAAAATCAATGTGCTTCGTTCTGTGCTCCAGTCTCTGCTCCCGACACAAGGCAATCATGGCCTTGTTGTCGACGTACAGAATTGGAGGAGAACGAGGCCGCTCACCCAAGTCGGTCAGCAAGTAGGTCAGCCAGCGTAACTCTTGCGCAGCCATAGCCTCAGTGTAGATCTCGGCCTTACAGCTGGAACTAAGCATAGAAGACGAGCGAGTGGACCTCCACGAGACAGAACCAGTACCGAGACTGAAAGTGTAACCCTGTGACAATCGCTCAAGGAGAGTCTGAGTGCCCTGTGAGCACAACTGTGCCCCGTCCTCCAAGCACAAGCTTCATGCCTGATGTACTGCACAAGTAGCGCAATACCCTTGTAGCAGCCTGGTAGTGCTCAGGGCGGTGTCTCCCGGGCGCAACGTAGCGTGTCGGGATACTGAGAGGGTACGCGAGGTCAGGTCGAGTGTACGTCATTACCTACATGAGGCAGCCCACAAGCTCTGGGTAAGGACCACTCGACTCTACGGACTCGTCCGAAGGTGGAACTGAGAGCGAGTGGTACGTAGGCAGAGGAATGGGCTGTGGAGAACTAAAAGCGGAAGCGCTCAAGGACCTACTGAGTCAGAATGTTTATGCGCACTGCTGTAACCCAGGTGATCTGCAAGCCAAGATAGCTCTGTAGCTCACCCAGATTAGTGACAGTGTGTCTCTTCTAGAGCTCGGCTTTCTCAAGGGCCAGTGCCTCAATGTCAGCAGTCGCAAAGACCAAGTCGTTGACGTAAACAAGGATGTAGAACGGCAGCAGAGAAGGGTCGGTGCGCAGAAAGAAACAACAACGGTTCGGCAGTCGAAGGAGCAAACCCAAGAGCCGCAAGTGTCATCCTCAGTGTGTCTTGCCACCTACAAGGCGCCTGATAGAGACCGTAGACTTGCCGCCGGAGGATCCACTAGGTACCCTTAGGAAACGACAGCAGCGGCAAATGATGGTGGGAAGGGAAAGGAGGACTCGTCGGATGACGGTTTCTCCTTCCTTACCTTGGAGAAGGAGACGGCGCTTGCTGGTCGTGTGTTGGCTGACCCCGATCACCTCGTTCTAGACTCTGGTGCCACTTGTGGAATGATACCACAGCGTGACCTCTTCATCACCTACCACTCCCTCCCATCTAACTCAAGAAATGTGATCGTGGGGAGCGGAGATACGCTGCAAGCAACCGGCATCGGCACCATCACCATAAAGGGGAAGGAGGGGGAGGTGCTACATGTGAAGGGTGTGCTTCATGTTCCAGGATTGGCAGCCAACCTCCTCTCATGCTCTCAGCTTGCTAGGCAAGGATACGCATGCACCTTCACCATGGGAGGGTGCACGGTTCGCAAGGGTGGAGCTGTGGTGATGGAGGCCAAGTTAGAGAAGGGTTTATACCTTGTTCCAGTATGTGTGCCTCACATGGAGAAGGCACATGGGGTTGAAGCCGAGGATGCCGCTTGCAGCACCCGTTGGAAGGATGTGGAGCAGGTGACGGCAGATTTGCTGCACCTACGCATGGGGCACGCGGGAAAGCAACAGCTTGTGGAGTGTGTGAAGAAGGGGGAGCTGAAGGGTGTGGAGATCAAGGAGGGTGGTGGGCAGCCAAGCAAGTGCCCTGATTGCACGACCGGGAAGCTGCCAAGAACATCTTTCCCTACCTCCACCACTAGAGCCTCCGCACCTCTTGAGTTGGTGCACACGGATGTGTGTGGCCCCATGCAAACACCGGATAGGGAGAAGGGCAACGAATACTTCATCACCTTCTTGGATGACTTCAGCCGCCTAAGTTGGGTTACCTTGGTGAAAACCAAGGATGAGGTGGCCAAGGTCTTCAAGCGTTGGATACGCTATGCGGAGAGGGAAGCCGGGGCCAAGGTGAAAAAACTTAGGTCTGATCGGGGTGGGGAGTACATGGGGAAGGATCTGGAGTCTTTCCTTGAAGACAAGGGAATCACCCACCAGCTTTCAGTTGCCTACACGCCGCAGCAAAATGGGGCAGCAGTGCAATATGCCAACTGGGTTAAGAACCGGATGGGCAGCAAGGGGCTAGGGGGCAAGAGCCCATACTTCATGTGGACCAGGAAGGTGCCTAGTGTGTCCATGGCACGAGTGTGGGGGTGCATGGCGCAGTACAAAGTGCCCGACCAGCAACGGAGGAAGCTGGATCCCAAGGCACAATGGGGCATTTTCCTTGGGGTGTCAGAGAGGAGCAAGGCATGGGTGTTGTGGAGTGTGGCAGATCAGCGGGTGGTGGAAAGCCGGGATGTGGTTTTCCACGAGGGGCTGAGCTACAAGGGGTGGAAGGAGCATGGCACTAGTACAGTTGGGAGCTCCCTCCAAGATCCCTACACCTCTTCCATTTTTGAGGGGACATGGGAGGACCCTGGAGAGGAGGTAGAGGAGCAGCAGGAGGAACACAAGGCAGCTGCACCTCACCATGAGGATTCCCCAACTGCTGGTTTTACCCCTAACCCTAACAAACCAGCCCATGACCCGCAGCAGCCTCAAGAGCAGCAGCAGCAGCCGCAGCAGCCACCGCAGCAGCATACACCGCCTGTTCCTGTGGGAAGGTGGCAGCAACTATTGCAGCAGCAGCTGTCCAAGTCACCACGGTCCCCCATGAAGAGAGTGACTTGGAAGGAGAAGCTGCAAAGTTTGGAGCAGGGGGAGGCACCACATCTGCGCCGCACCACACGCATCTCCCGGCCACCTGAAAGGTTCACACCAAGTGCACAGTATGCTTGCATGCATGATCATGGGGTGTATGATTTGGAGGAGTGCATGCTTGTGGATGCTGAGGGGGGTGAGCTTGGGCTTGATTTTTGTCTCATGGGTCAGGTGCATGAGCCTAAGTCGGTCAAGGAGGCCTTGTCCCGTCCTGAGTGGGTCGAGTCCATGCGTGAGGAGCTTGAGTCTCATAGGGTGAACGAGTCCTTTGAGCTGGTTGATCCAGCTTGTGTGCCACCTGGAATGGAGGTCTTGAGGTGTCAGTGGGTGTGGAAGTATAAACACATGGCTGATGGGAGTATTGAGAGGCCTAAGTCCAGGTTGGTGGCCATGGGGAACACTCAAACACGAGGTGTTCACTATGACCAGGTATATACCCCGGTGGGTAAACCTACTACCCTGAGAGGTTCCCTTGGGATGGCAGCATCTTCGGGGTTTCACATCCATCATATGGATGTGACCACTGCCTATCTTCACGGGGTCTTGAAGGAGGAGCTTTACATGAGGCAGCCCCCTGGTTTTGATGATGGGTCCGGCAGGGTTTGCCGACTCAGAAAGTCAATCTATGGGCTAAAGCAAGCTCCAAGGCAGTGGTACCTCAAGTTTGATGAGGCGCTGATGGATTTTGGTTTTGAGAGGTCGGAGTGTGACCCCGCCTTGTACCACTTGGTGAGGCGTGAGGGCAGGTTGTCCCTTTACCTCTATGTGGATGACATTCTGCTCTTGTCTTCGAGCATGGTCTTGCTGGACGAGGTCAAGGGTCTCTTGTCCTCTCGTTTCCGCATGAAGGATTTGGGGGAGGCTAAGTACTATTTGGGGGTGCAAATTGAGCGTGATGAGAGTGGCATCTTGATTCATCAGGAGAGGTACATTCTCAACATGCTTGAGTCCTTTGGCCTTTCTGAGGCTAACCCCGTGCGTACCCCTCTCCCTACAGGATTCGACGTGCATGCATAAGCTGAGGAGCCCTTGCTGAGAGATGAGCTGGTCCAGCTCTATCAAAGCATTGTGGGGTCTCTCATGTATGCAAGCACGACCACACAGCCACAAATTGCTTATGCAGTGTCACAGCTGTCCAAGGTGGTGTCTTGTCCCAAGGCATTTCACCTGCAGGCTGCTAAGAGAGTGCTAAGGTACCTGAAAGGTTGTGTCAAGTCAGGTATCTTCTACCCCGCACACAGCAAGCCTCGGGTTGAGTTGG